AAAAAATCCGTCTCTGTTGCGATTATACAAAACTTAATAATAGCGTGAAAAGGGCAATCCATCCGATACCAAAGGTAGATACCGTGTTATCTAAGTTAAAAGGAGCTAAAATATTCTCGAAGTTAGATACCGCCGCCGGTTACCACCAAATTAAGTTAGATAAAAAAAGCCAGCCACTCACTACATTTATCACCCCGTTCGGAAGATTCATGTACACTCGATTACTTTTCGGCGTTAATTGCGCATCCGATTACTTTGCAAAAAAATTCGCGACTCTGTTATCTGACATACCTAATGTCGTGATCCATGTCGACGACGTGCTAATCTATGCCAAATCCGTAGAAGAGCATGACAAAACTCTAAAAATAGTACTTGAACGCCTAACAAACGAAGGGGTTACTCTTAACAGAGAAAAGTGCGCTTTCGCAGCCCGTGAAGTAAACTTCTTGGGTCACAAAATTTCAGAACGCGGCATCGACGTATTACCAGAACGCGTATCGGCTATAATAAACTTCCCGGATCCGAATAATAAAGAATCACTTATGCAATTCCTTGGGGCAGTCAATTATATAGGTAAATACATTCCTAACAAATCTAAAATATTAGAGCCACTTAACTCCCTATTGAAAGATAACATACATTTTGTTTGGCTAGAACCACAAAAACGAGCTTTTAAGGAAGTGAAACAATATATTCAAAGAGCCCCCACTCTAGCTCACTATGATTACTCGAAAAATATTGTAGTTCAGGCAGATGCCTCCAGCTTCGGTTTAGGCGCTGCTCTAATGCAAGAAGACCAAAACAAGGTCCGCGAAACAGTAGCATACGCCTCGAGAACACTAACCACGTGCGAGAAGAAATATAGTCAAATCGAAAAGGAAGCCTTGGCGCTGGCCTTTGCAGCCGAACGTTTCAAAGAATACGTACAAGGCATAGATTTCACGTTGGAAACGGATCACAAACCACTCCTACAGATACTACAAACAAAGCCCCTTGACGAATTAACTCCCCGGTTACAAAGAATTCGCATGCGCTTGTTGCGATATAGTTTTAAAGTAGTTTACGTTCCAGGCAAACAGCTAGTTCTAGCCGACTCTCTATCACGTAATCCCCTGGAACGAGATCGCGACGAGGGAAATGAGCTCTCAAACGAAATCGAGAGTTACGTGCAATTCATAGTAGGGAACATACCCGCATCTAAAAATCTTATGGATAAGATAAGCGAAGAGCAGCAATGCGACTATATATGCTCCAAACTAAAGGACTATTGCTTATCAAAATGGCCTTCTAAGTCCCAACTACCAGAAGGTCTATTACCATATTTTCAACTCAAAGACTACATTTCATACGGCGATGGATTCCTATTGTACAACACGAGATTGATTATACCACCCTCCTTACAACTAGAAATCATCTCTAGGATACATGAAGGCCATCTTGGTATCAATAAATGCAGAGACAGAGCAAAACAGTCGGTATGGTGGTTAGGATTAAGCTCGCAATTAAGGCACCTAGTCGAAAACTGTCCGAACTGTATTCAAGAACGGAAAAACATTAGCCAACCTTTCGTGAAAGAAAATTTTCCCGACCGACCGTGGCAAAAAATCGCTCTAGACCTCTTCAAGGTAAATAAATGGTACCTTATCGCAACCGACTATTATTCCAGATTCTTCGAAATATGTTCTCTAAAGACCATGTCCGAACACGAAATAATAGATAAGTGTAAGAACTTATTCGCCCGATTCGGCGTCCCAGAAATTGTAAGAAGCGATTGCGGAACACAATTTTCGTCAGCTTTCAACCGGTTCGCGAACGGCTACGACTTTAAACACATAACAAGCTCTCCGAAATTTTCTCAGAGTAACGGAGCCGCCGAAGCGGCCGTCAAGATCGCTAAGAACATTATAAAAAAATGTGACGACGTAAATCTAGGCCTCCTATCTTATAGAACGACACCACTAGAAAACGGTTATTCGCCAGCAGAACTTATGTTCTCGCGAAAAATCCGCTCTCGCGTTCCCGTCTTACCGAAAAATCTCGGCACCTTCGCAAACCACGAACAAGTTACCGCTAGCGAAAATAAACGAAAAAGCGACCAAGAACTCATGTACAATAGACGTCACCGCGCGAAAAAGCTATCCGAACTAAGCATAAATGATAGAGTCTGGATCGTGGATATGCGAGCGTACGGGGAATTCATCAACATAGATAACAACCCGAACTCCTTTGTAATTAAAACAGAGAGAGGTAGTGTGGTACGGCGAAATCGTTGGCACCTAATTCCTGCCCCGTTCAAACGCAGCCTGGAGTCGATTAACAACGACACACCGGACGTTCCCGAAGACGCACCGAGCAACACGCCACCGAACACGACTAGAGACCCAGCACCGTATAATCCCGACGCTGCAGAAGATGACAATCAGCAGACCAATCAACCCGAAGAACTACCAGAACGTGCACAAGAACCACCAGACACCGATGGTGGGACCCAACAGGAAGAACGCAACATCACCGGACCCCCAGAACCGCGCAGATCAACCAGGCGAAGAAATCCCCCTGTTCGATTCGGCGACCCTGTGACTAGAGATTAAGAATCTTTATTGTATACTCGTATAAAAGAAAAACAAGCCTTTAATAAAAAGGGAAAGATGTTGCGTGAGCAATAGTAGAGAGCCCGCAGCCGAGAGGGCGACACACACACTTACACACATACACACACACATGCGTACAGACAGTCAGTAGAGTACATGGCCGGCAAGCAAGAAGTAGAGCCACACGAATCACGCAGCGTCGACCCGTTACTACAATACGTACTGGTGTTAAACATCCATACGCATATCCTTATCCTCTCGCGGGTGTCCCCGCAACACTTACTAATCCTTTTCTTTCCATTATATTTAATCACAGGGCGGACCCATTGTAATTTCCTCGATCCCATGTATCTTATCCATGAATAAACCTCGTTCATATCGGTTTTTAACCTTTAAAGCACCTGTCCGATTTATTTCCGATCCTTCCAAGCGATTACCTCACGAAGCAAAGTACGATCTTTTCCTCCTTTCCTCCCGACGGCCCTGGAGCTGAGCATATTCGGCGAATAGGAGGAACGGAGGATTCTTTTAGCCGACACACAGCACGTCAACACCGACCGAAAGAACGCCAACTCTTCCAACCGTTAGTCGGAACCGCGCGTCCGACTAAGTTCCGTACTTATTCGCGTACTAAATAATACCCGCCGGAGTCCCGTCCGGAAACCAGAACCGGGAAGAGTTGAGCGCTTCGTTACAAATATAATGCTTGAAAGATCTAACAGTCAAAAATATAAAACAGCACAAAGCTGTGACTGGATGTACGTGTCAAATAAATATATTATATAATTCGAAATCCAGACGTTTTGGTATGATATCGGATCATTTTTAATGTATATACAAAATTTATGGAGTAAGTACTAATACCAATGAATGAATGTTTATTCCCCTTTCGGGCAATACATTGGCGCTTTTTTCAGGGAGCGTATCCCCAACCCTTTACAACCTTATTATCCCGTTCTCTCTCGCGACCTGGCTTTCTGCGACCCTTACATATTATGTACCTTCCCCCCATAAGTTTCCTCTTCCTCACTCTCCCACCCCCCAGTTCTATACCTATTCTATTCTTCTATCCTCTGTCTCCTTCCTTATCCCTCCTCTCCAGTCTCCATTCTCTGCCTCTATTTCCTTTCTTCCCTTCTCCTTGACTCTCCTTCTTTTCCATTACTCCTCTCTTTCTCCTTTTCTTTCCTATCCTTCTCGCCTTCTTCCCTGTAAACCATTTCATATTAATTTACTGTATCCTCTCCCATTCCTCTCCTCCTTCTTTCTCCTCTCCCACCCATTTCCATTCTCTCCCATCTATCCACATCCTCCTATTCTCCACCCTTACCCTTCTTCCCATAGCCCTCTCTTTCCCTGTCTTTTCTAACATTTTCCATCTTATTCTTCTCTCTTCCATACTCAGGTCCTCATCTACTGTTATCCCCCATCTCATTCTTATACTATCCATCTTATTTAATGTTTCTTCGCTATCCTCCTCCTTTCTCGTTTCGACAATCATAACTACCCTCCCTTCCTCCCCTAATGTCTCTATTATTTCTTTTATTTCTGTGACCCTCTTTAACAATTTCTCTGTCACTTTCATTCTTCTCCGCCTTCTCTCTTCCCTGCCCTCTCCCTCTACCCCTCTCCAAATTAGCTTTCTCCTCCTTCCCTCTTCCTTCCACTCTCCCCTGTCTACCTCACCATCTCTCCTTCTATCTCTTCTCTCTTCTTCTACCTTTTTCCCTCCCTCCTCTTTCTCTTCTCCTCTGTCCTCCTCTCTTTCCCTATTCCCTCTTTCACTCCTCCCTTCCTTACCAACTACCCTCCTCTCCCTCCTTTTTTACTTCTATCCTTTTCTTCTTCCCTTCCCTTTCTCCTTTCCCTCTCTACTCCCAGCTTCCTCCATCCACTTTTTTCCTCCTCTGATTCCTCCGTCTCCTCTCTGCTCTCCCTTCCTATCCTTTCTTTTTCCACCTTCTCTTTCCGTCTTGTCCCCATCTCATTTTTCCTCCTCTCCTCTCTTCTCACTCTCCTTTCCTCCTCCCCTTCTCCCTTCCACCCTATCCTCCCTTCCTCCTCTCTTTCCACGCCCCTTTTCCTCTTTTTCTCCCCTCGCTCCTCTTCTTTTTCTCCCTTCTTCCTCTCTTCCCTCGACCCTCGTCCCCTCCAGTCAATTCTCTTCTTTTCTTCCTTGGTCTTATCCGTCTCCTCACTACTCACTCTTCTTGTCCTTTCCTCCTCTGTCTTCTTCCTTCTTCTCATCCCTTCCTCCCTTCTCCCTCTTCCCCCTTCTCCCTTCTCCCCTCTTCCTATCCTGTACTCCTGTCCTTCACTCTCCTCTCCGTCTCTCCCTTCTCTCTGTCCTCTCCACTTCACCTCCTCTCTCTTCCTCTCCCTCATCTCTCTCTCTTTCTTCTCTCTCCTCTATCCATTCCCTTATTTTCCTTAGTTCCTTTGCTATCTTTCTCAACTGCCCCCCTATCTCCTCCCCCAACTCTCTCAACTCCTCTCTCCATTCCTCCATCTCCTCTCGTCTCCTTTTCTCCTCCTCTTCTCACTCCGTTTCCTCTTCTCCTCCTCTTCGCGTTTTCCTTCTCTTCTCCTCCTCCCTCTTCAGCTATACCTCTTCCTTCTCTCCCCTCCACTTTTCTCCTTCTTCCCTCCTCCGCTTCTGGTTTCCCTATGACTTCTCTCTCCTCTCTCTCTTCGTCTCCTTCCCGACTTCCTCCGTCCCTGCTTTCAACCTTTCTCTCCTTCCTTCTTTCCTTCCGCTCTTCTCTTCCTGTCTCTTCCTGTCCGCTCTTCTCTTTTCTCACCTTTTGCCACTCTCTTGCCTTCCGTCCCTTAACCCTTATGGAGAAAATAAAATTATTAGTTACAGATTGATAAAGCATGATGCAATTTAGAAAATGACGGATGCAAAATTGCAGCAACATCAAATGTAAAATTAGATTATAAAGTAGAACAGAGTAATAACTGTTAGATGATCTGTTGTTTTCTTTGTAAAACATAACGTCCGTGGTTAAGAACAAAGAGCAAAATGATTTTGTCATTACTAACACAGTCATACTCTGTTCTACTTTATAATCTAACTTTTACAATTGACATCATTGCAATTTTGCATTCGTCATTTCCTAAATTTCGTCATGCGTTATCAGTCTGTAACTAATACTTTTATTTACTCCATAAATTTTGTATACAGGGTGTCAGATTCGATATGGCCGACCCCAAAGATTATAGTAGATTGGGTTAAACTGAGAAGAAAAGTTATATAAAATTTTACAAAATCCGTAATTATTATCGCCTAATTAAGAAAAACGTCTGAGCCAATAAGTGCACGGAGGAGCGGAAGGCCGGACTCGGCAGACATGCAAAATGGTGTGTTTGTTGACAAAAACTTTTTCGGCACGGTGTCATATGTCGCGCGTTCTCTCGCTGCGCGCCGTTCGCCCGCTCACCGCTCCCCGCTCGCCCCCGTCTCTCATCGATCGATGCGTGACA